TGGCACGTGGCAAAAGTGGCACGTGGCACATGCTCTGAAATTCCGAGAAAAATGCCAATTAATAAGTATTTGATCCACCGCGAAATGCCGGCGAACCCAGGGGCGTACTTCGGCAGAAAAGAAAGACACTCCTCGGCGACGTCTCCTGATGCGTAATTTTCGAGAAACGAGTACAAAGGCGCGGACCGCTCCGTTTGACGGCGGGTACCGGCAAGTGCCGGCGCGACATCGGTATCGGCGCGCGGCGTGGCGGCGCGGCGGCTCGGCCGCAAAGGGCGGGCGGCATCGCAAGGATCGGTCGTAGAGGGATGACCGCGAAGCCAAGGTCGACGGAGGGCACGTGGCAGATTTCGAAGAAATCGGGTGGTTGCTAGGAGACGTCGTAGGGGAGTGAAACGTATAAAATAAGCGAGGGCACCGGGCCCGCACTTCACTTCGATTCATTCTCTTATATTTGTTGCTACGCGCTTCTTTCTTTATATTTGTTGTTACGAGGCTTCACTTATAGCTTGTCACTACGGGACATACTTGTTGTCATTACGGACTTTACTTGTATTTGCAAAGACTTTCGTTGCGGGATCAAGTATTTCGGCTTTGATTGTAATATTGATGTCACTCGCAGACTAAATTATAATACGTGTGTTATATAATAATTGAAATAAACTGTGCGTATTCACCGTCGGAAAAATTGAGTTGTTCTGATACAGTAATTCTTTGGTATATAAATTAATAATTTCAAGATTGCTCTTTAAGATAATTACGCTTTGCAGATATCCGTGAGAATACCCTCTGAAATATTTATAAGTACATATTTCAATGTTGTTACTTTGCTATAAAATTTTTCAGCGTACAACTGTTTTGCAATTAAATAAATTTTGGATCATAGACCGAGCTTGATTTTGATCTGGAAATTTATTGTTACGCGCACTTTCATTGCACGTAAATACACACTTAATCTTTGATAGGATGTACGCGTGCACAGGACCACACACTGCGATATTTAAATGAACTCCGCTTGTGCTCGACTATCTCGATGCCATAAATGTCTCTTCGCGATTTCACGAGCATCTCCTTATTTCGGTTGAACTCCGTGACGTGCAATATCATTGAAGCCTTTCTGAATTTATGCAGACCGAATATTGCGCTACGGTGGCCAGAAGCTGATTTTCAAAGTGTTTGATGCCCATGTTTACCTTTACCGAGTAAAGCTTTCTTTATGCGAATAAGGAAAAGTATATGTTCCAGTATTTCACATGCAACAACCTAACAAATTACGGAACAACCTACCTCATAAAACAAATATTTAACAAAGACGAGAATGGTCACACGATGAAGCGGAAAACGAGCTTATGAGCATTTAACAATGTTTCTGGCACACGTTCATAAACGGGATGTTAAACTGTAAACATATTCCATTGTGGATTAGAAGTTTCAAATCGTTAAATATTTAAGTTATTAGATATTGAAGATATTAATTTCTCATACTTTTAAATTTAAAAATTTGCAAATGACCGATTTCTCAAATTCATAAATTTTCAAATTTTCAAATACCTGAATTTCCATATATTCCGGTAATAAAATAACATAATCACATTATCAGATTCAAAAATATTCGTTTGCATATTTATGAATTTTTCAATTTTCTTATTATGATACTCTCAAGTTACCAAATTTTTTAATTCTCCAGTTGCCCATATGTCTAAATTCTTAAATTTAAAAATTCACAAATTGTTCAAATTGTCGAATTTACAAATTTACAAATATTGATAGTCTTAAATTTAAAAAATTCCAAAACTATAAACTTTAAAACTATAAAATCTTTGAATGTACAAGTTTACCAAATTTCTAAATATTGAAATTTTCAATTTTCCAAATTTCTAAACTTGCAAAACTTCAAATTTACAATTTACTACATACGAATTAAAAAAGTTTCAAAACATCGAATTTCAAAATTCCTAAATATTCAAGCTCTTCAAATTTCCAAATTCTAAAATTTTCAAATTTCTACATTCCAACATTTTTACGTTTTTCAATCTATAGACTTCCATATTTTCAATTTCCCATTTTCCCAGATCCTCAATTTATAAAAAACTCAATTGGCGAAGTTTTCAAATTTCCAAATTATAAAACTCCAAATTATCATAATTATCGACAGATTTATTATGAAACTTTACAACTTCTCACATTAAGTATAATGAAGTGAGAGCAAATAAAAGAACCATTAATTTTAAATGAGCAATAGTTCTAGAAGGCTTGTAGAAAAAAAGATGATAATCGAAAGTGATGCCATGTTTGTGAAAATGTGATTTGACAGTATACATTACGTAAAATCGTTAATTTTGGAGATAAGTTCAAAATTAAATGTTTCCTAGTTACAGTCTGATTGATGGTGTGAAAGGCAATGTGTACGTGTTCCCCTCATAAGGAATGCACCGAAGATTATTACACTGCTTCTTCAGGATATGCGCCGTACGTAACCTATTACTATTTAACATAAATATTTGTTAAATATAAATTTGTCCTATGCAATAAAAACAATTACTGGAAACTATATTATTACCGATAATTATTATTGACTAATTAGATATTAATCAGATAATTAGACTATTAATTAGAACACAGTTTACTGTCACATACAATTATATACCATAACCTGTTAATAAGATTAAAATAAAATTAAATATAATTTTGAGGAAGTAATTACAGCGTATCGAATAATTTAAACATTTTAGAGCTTTTAATAAACATAAAATTTGTCTTTTTAATTTTAGGTGTGCACAATTCAATTTTAAAAAGTTACAACCATTCTTCATGCAGTCTTGATTAGGATTTAAATTTTCAAATGGTCAAATGTTGAAACTTAAAAAATTTTGAAATTATGTAATTTCTACACATTTTAATCTTCAGAAATTTGGTCATTTTAACAATTAGATACTTAGATACTATAAAATGTAAATTAATTTGGAAATTCAAAGATTTTAACATTTATTGAGATTTGCAAATTTAGAAATTTAAATATATTGGAATTTTAACACTAGAACTACCAACCAGTCAAAATGACTGGTTTCTGATTTCTCACTTTATATTATAAAATTTTATTGTCGTGATTTTATAGAAATGTCTGTCATATTTTGTTGAGGTAAAAACTAGTTCTATATGTTAGTTGATGCTTTAGTATTTATTTATTTCCCTTTTCATTTTATTTTTTACTCTTCGATAAACGAGCATTTAATGTCGGTACTTCTAGTGTTACATTTCATATTTTTAATTATTCAAATTTCCAACTGTTAAAATTAAAAAATTCCTAACTACTCAAATGTTTACATTTTTAAATTAAAAAATTTATAAAATTAAAATATTAGGCATATTTTAGCGATCCATTCACCACATTATAATTAGAATTGAATCCCAAATTCAATTGCAGCGAAAATATATATGTGGTTATCACATCCGAACTGTAATGTGCGTGACGAGTATGCTATGATATTATAGGTTATGTTAACTCGTGACTGCTCAACACTGTATTAACATTCTGTTTTATATATGCTTCTAAAATTGTTGCAGAACCTCCACCTCGCGTTCAACATGGCGAACAGCGGAGCGAAGCGCACAAAGCGACTATTGCTCGGCCCATTGCTCTGCACCATCGACCCCAAAATCTCAACAAATTCCGCCTTCTGTTCCAATGGCACCACTAAGAGTCCTTAAACAAGATCCAAATCTATCAGCTGGAGTAGCCATAGCAAGCCGACGAATACACTGTATGTTGAATACTATTAAATTTTTATGAAAAAGGAAAATTGTTTTTCTATTTTTTACTCTTTCCACTCGTATGTCTCCGTGGAATCAAAACCTTAGATTTAAATATTGTCTACGTATAGTGATCTTTTTTTATTATAACCATTTATTATATTATATAGGGTGTCTCACAACTAGTGTAAGTACTGAAAATAGGTTGAAGAGGATGTGATTTTGAACAACTTTTCCCTTTACAAAAATGGGGTTTTAAACTTCATTTCTGAATTATGAATACACATTGTTTATAATTGATGTTTAAAATGTGGAGAAAATTATTACTTCGAATGATTGAAGGAAAAAGTGTCGTTTGTTTTTCGCACATTTCATCTGATACGTTTTTAAAAAATTTTTGAATGATACTTTCAAATTTATACACTCCGATAAAATTCTTTTTTATCTCCCATTCCTATTTTATTTAAAATATGTAAATATACCAATAAATGAACACTGTATTATAATCGAAAAACTGTCCTCTGCATATTCAAAAACTTTTCAAATTGTTCAAATTTTTGGGTTAATCAAACATAATCATAATTTCTTAAATGAGACACGTATCCTATGATTTACACGATTACGTTTTACACGATTTTAAAATAACGGGCTTAAAAAAAATGATAAATGTAAATATTTTCACATCAATAATGTAAGGATAAGACTTTTATATTTTTTATTTTTTTGTTATGAAACTTTTACCAATAGATTTCCGACATTTCTCTGATTAAAGTGAAACCAAACACGATTTAATTTAGACTACATTTACCAGTTTAATTAACAGTAATTTCGATGTATGCTATTCAATTTTTCCGGTTTATATGAGTTACATGACATTTTAAAATCATTATTAACATTTAATCATAGCTTTCGAATTAATGTTTTAATTTAAAGTAAGCTATTGTTTTCAGTTGATCGGATGGAAATCTCATCAACATTCGAGGAAACTATGGATGATACTTACGATGACTTGGATATCTCAGGTAAACAGATTATCTTATAAACTTGACCTCAACAAACCAGAAGACAATAATCAAAAATTCGAATATTTGCCGCTTTGGTACTTAATTATTTTACACTTTTGGTAAAAACTAAAAAAGTTTTTTGGATTATCGCAAAAAAATTATTTTAAAGTAACTTTAACTATGCAATTCCTCCCACATACAGAAGGCCTTATCAACGAGATTACTTAAACATCACCTTTATTTGTCACTATATAAAGTCCTTGGTACAGTTAAAAGCAAATTTTATTTCTCTTAGGAAAATATGCCAATGAAGGGAAAGAGGTCGTATACTCGTTAATTTTTAGGGATTTTTTGGAATTTAAAAATTTTAGGGAATCTAGAAATATAGGAATTTAGCGATTTGAGAATATAGAAATTTTTCGGTAATAAGATCTAGGAATTTGAGAAGCTATGAATGTGAGGATATAAGAATATAGCGATCGAGGCATTTGGAGATCCAGAAATGTTGGAACCAAGGAATTTGAAAAACTAAGAACTTAAAGATATTATAGGGTTTTAAGAATCTATAATTTTCAGAATCTAGAGATTTTAACATTTAGAAATTTCAAAGTTTAGAGATTTGGAAACGCAGGAAAGGAATTTTTGAGTATTAGGTCCAGGAATTCAAAAAACTACAAATTTAGGAACGGAAATTATATTATTAATACTGCAATGTTCTACTTCTATACTATTATGCTGCTGGTGAATTACAACCCCATACTAAGGGATATAGCCCCTAAATCAATTGTTATGCGAATAAAAACTACAGTTTAATTTTTAGCGGTTCAGCTAGGAAGGTAGGAAGGCTAGGAAAAGTAAAGGAGAGGGAGAACGTTTCGTCCGGGCCCTGCTAGTGGACTTATCAGTAAGGCGTTCTAACAGGCCCTTGCCTTAGACGCGGGGATGTAAGGAAGGGATGGACAGGAACTATATATATGAATAGGAAGTTTCTTTAAGTACTAGCGGGAAAGTCTAGGTCTCAATTCTATGCGCCGTCTAGTGGCGATGAGCGTGGGAGTGAAACCGCCACAAATTTAATATGTGATATGAAATTGAAGAACTTTCTCTTACACCAGACTTAAATTTTGTTATTATATTTTATTAATCTTTGCATATATGTACAGTACCACCAAGATATGAAGGCATGCGTCCTCCACTCGCTGCGTCTAGTCCTGTACCTCCAGAACCAGTAGTAAGACGATCACCACCAGGAACTTACGAATTGCGACGAACAAGACCACCACAATTCCCAACCACCACAGCAACCAGACAATATCCAAGAATGACTCAAATGACACCTTGTGGAAAATGCTTAAGGGTGAGCGCTTAAATAGTAAGGTGAAGTGGGGTAAGTTCGTAAACGGGACAAGTGCATATACAGGCTATTAGTATGTTGGTTTCCTTGTTTCACTATATCCCCTTTTACAATACATTTCAGCTAAGAATACTTATTTGCAGTATAGAGTACTTGCATAATGCAATAAAAAGCATTTTATAGCAGATTTGTTAATAATTCTGCTCTTGCCCCATCGCACATGAAATAAAGTTTGAAAGTATTTTAACCTCAAGTTACGCTCTAACGCCATTTTCGGGGAAAGGAAGAGTAGTTGACATTTTAAACAATTTCCTATCAAAATCAAAATCAAAATGTACAAGGAAAATTAAGGCCCTAGTTAATATTAATTAAATAGTAGTAATTGTGCAAAGCGTTCGATATCGACAGTGTTAAGTATTTACATAACAGTCTGGAAATACTTACGTTTAAATACCAACTTTACAAAAACCAGTCTGCACTTACCCCACTTCATCTTACCCTTGTATAAGTCCTAACTCAAGCTCATCGAAATGTCAATACTTCACGAAATATTTAACATTTGGCGTCAGAAACGTACTACTATAACAAGTGATGGGGTTTATGATCGACGCAACAATGACCGCAGTCGCCTTTGACAGTCCCAGCATAAACACAGGCTAAATATGAATAGTTGGTATATCGCGACCATCTAACGGGGCCATGTGAAACCTGGTTAACCTGACCCTGGCACCATGCGGCAATGCAATGTTGGGGTTTTCCCAGAAAGTGGGAGTTCGTTCCCCATAAAAGGAATCGAAAAAGCACGGGAGGCACATAACGATTTCTGTTTTTGGCTCGGCGATGAAAGAAAGCCAGACGATAGAATGAACTCATTTTGAAAATTGAAACCTTTTTCTGGCGCAAAACTCAGCTATACTTATTCTATATTATAATGAGCATTTATATGGTCCACTATTACACCTTAAATATTCTTTTTCTATTTTTCATTAGATGCTTTAGTTAATTTGTAGTGATATTCGGATAATGTGAATGCATTGGATTTCTTTCTTTAGAATTATTTAAAATGTATACACGTCTCTTTGTATCAGTTGGCAACTTGAAAGAGGGTATCAAAATCCATGGCTCATATATCAAATTAACTGAAATGTGTACTTAAAAATGTAAAAAGACGAGAAAATATTTAGAATGCAACGGTAGAACATTCAAACACTAAGCTCGGACTATTATACGCAGAATAATAAAAGGGATTGACTGCTTTAACAGAAAAATTAGGTTACGTTAAAGAATAGAGTGCAATTGCACTTGAGTGCATCAATGCATGCATATAAAAAATAACGTTACAAGAAGTTAGATAATTCATTCCGCTAATAATAAATTTTTTTAACAGATGTGATGAAACCGATGAGGTGAAATTACGATCGGAGCCTAAAATCTGCAATTCAGGGTCAGAAATTAATTTGCTGCACGCCAAAGTAAGTTTCCAGCCTAAGTATAAAGTGTAATTTCAAGAATGAAATAGACGAAAAGAAAACATTAAACACGACTAGAAATTTTTATTTAAATTATAAGTAAAAGAAATTGTTACTTGAGAAATAGGAGTGATACTTTAAAATATCTTAAAGAGGTACAACACTTCATAAAAATTAGAAAAAATCGAAGTTTCTTCCTTTTAATTAAAATTTCAAGTAAATACAATATCAGTTATAATTTTCACCTTTCAAATATTCAAATTTTTTGACCTTCAACTTTAGAAATTAAAAGATTAAAAATTGACATGTTTTAAAATTATAAATTGAATAATATTACAACTTGGAAATTTCTAAATTTGGAAATGTGAAGATTTAAAAATTAAAACATTAAAAAACTAAAATATTTTACAACAATAAATTTAAAAATATAAAAATTAAAAACTTGGAAATTGAAAATGGCAAATTTGAAAATATGAAAACTATAAATCTTGACAGTTCGAAAATTTGAAAATAGAAAACTTTGTTTATTACGGAAATGACACAAGAATTTTCTATTTATTTTATGATGAGGAATTTGTAATTTTCGAGTACTTTAACCACTTTTTAGAACATACTGACTACAAAAGACAAATACATAATATTATATTTCATAACGCTAAGTTGTGAAATGATTTGTTGACTGTTTCACCGAGAAGCTACCTAATTCATGTGAACACGCAGACCAGCTGGGTGTCCACTCAATGTCACTTCTCAATCTAAAATTTTGGAAAAGCGATAAATGTGACATTTTCTATACACGTCCGTATACCAAAGAAAAAATATAATTCAAATGATAGACAAAAGTTTATTCTGTCCACTTAAGATATTGTCAAGTACACCAAAATTCTAGTTAGGATTCTAGAATATATTAGAATCTTCAGTGAATTAGAAATCTTTATAAAATGTTTATAAGATTATTTTTATTAAATTTGATACTTCGTAATATATCATAACTATGCTGCCATACTTCACATCATCAAATCGTTTCCATGTTTCAAAATTCATCACTGATACGCAACAGTCTAATACGTAGCTATAACGTCTGTAGAAAGTGAGTCTTATTTTTGCCATACCATTGAGCCTCCTTTATTCAAGGGCATACATCTCCGCCACTTAACGGACGTATTAAAGTGGTCAATTGAATTAAATTTGAATAGATCAAATATTTTGCATCCTTCAAATTTTATTACCATGGATCAGAATGGATAGATGGAAAAGGTAACAGAGTGGAACGTGGATCCCTCGTGTGTTTAAAGATGTTTAATGCATGGACCTAGTGATCATAGTTAAGTTGATCACTGTTTATATGACCGTGTTCTCAACAGACACCCAGGAACCTGAAGAGATCGTAGAAGTACTCCGCAAACACTCTTTACTGACTGTTTTTCAATCAGGGCCACATTTGCCCGCTCATACGGGCGTATGTCCTCACCTTTGTTGTTTGCCGGTTTTCAGGGTCACACCTTTCTCGAGATTTGTCATCGTGCGATGTACTATTACCTCTCACTTCCTCGTATAATTGAAGGTTTAAGAAAATATTATATGGTAGTGCTATTTTTTTTAAATAGAAGAACGAAATCAAATATGTGATACTAAAAGTTCAACATTTCATAAAACCAGCAAGATTACATTTGTGAACATGATATATAAAATACAATATACTTATGAAAATTTTTATGAAGAAATTATTGTTCCTTAGTACTATTACGTAATAATAGGTTAATCAATCTATTATACATTTTTAACTCACTTTTTTCATGCAAAATCACTTACTTTCCAATTATGCTATTAGTTAAATAACAGCATGTAAAAGACAAAACTAAAATTGATTTATGTTTACTATCCACTATATATACAATCTTGTATCGGAATTCTGAAGAAAGAAAGCTAATTTGATCAGGAAAGGATTGAACGATACACGTGGCACAGCACATGTCTCGTGTCGTACGCAGGAAAGTCGGGAGGAAGACACAAAAGATAAATGGTGGCAAATTTACGTAATGAAGCGATCCGTCCGGGTGGTCCCAAGCATAAGATGCGTTTCCTCGTCATCTTGGCAATCCTCCCGAGGTGGAGAAAACAAAGAGAGACGAAAAGGATTTCGAGGACGAGTCGCGAGAACGCTGTCTTGGGTCCACGGGTCGAATTAACGGTACCGGAAGTACGAGACAACGTGCACACGTCCTCGTATTATGCATGCGAAAGAACGTAAAGCATCTTTTACTACCCACAATCGCTTCCCAAAACGTTTCTCTTTCGTTCTCGTGCCAACGCTGTCGCAGCATTTCGTTTTCTCGTGTGCCGGACGCGATAAGCGTCAGAATGTTTAACGCATCCTTGTCGGGTCCGACAATTTTAACTTTTCGATAGAGTGTTACATGCACACATGAGTATAACGCAGACTTAATTTGGATAAAGGTACGTATGCAAGCTTGACAATTTTTTAATTCTTGATTTTTCACACTCTCATGTTTACCAATTATGCAATTTTTTAATGTTTAAGTTTGAAAAATAATGTTATGTTTAAGAACTTTTTATTTTTTAAGATATCAACTTTTACAATTTTCAAGATTCAGGATCTTAGAATTTTTGTAATTCCGAATTTTAGAAATTTCATGACTGAATTTTCGAAAATTCTCAAGTTTTCAAAATTTCAAATTTTCGTATTTGCAAGATTTTTAATTGTCGAAATTTCTAATTTTTAAGATATCGAATTTCTTAAACTTCAAGATTCCAAGTTTTCGAATTTTCACGACACCGAATCCTTAAATTTTCAGCATATTGAATTTTCTGATATTTAAGATTCCAAACTTTTAAATTCTCCAGCCCCTAAATTCAAAAATTCGCAAATGTAGATAATAATAACTCAGAGTCTAGAAATTATTACAATTCGGACATGTGAATGTTTTGATAAAACATAAATTAATATATACATAAATTTTTTATGTTCATGAAAGTCAACGCAAATTCCCAGGTAATCATTTTCACAAATTTTCTAACATAAAATAAGACATAAAATCGTCGTTTTACCACTTTGGTAGTTTTAATATTAAAAATGTTAACAAAATTTAATAATTCAATGGGGTTGAAATTTAATGTGAGATGTATTTTTTGGAGACGATATCGAATCACATATTGCAAGTTTCATTTGGCTTAAAAGTATATCTGCCCACCTTATTTGGTTAAAACCTTTACTTTAATAATTTTAATTACCAATTCAGTTTGATCACTGCATGCACCTCACGTCATAGTTTAGTGTTCATCAGCGAAATAAAATAGATCTTATGACACTATGACTAGTGGATCTGCAGACCAAGTAGAATGTGCATTTAAAAGTTTGAGTACCTACTGTACACATATAGATTGACAGAATAAGAGATCTAGAAATTTTGAATGTCGTTCCAAACGATTAAATATATCTGAAATTGCCAAAAACAACATTAAACACAATTAAATTCCATTTCGTCAATGATGTCCCAGTATTGCCGTCAGCTATGAGTTAAGGACTTTTAACGTGATTCCAGTCGATTCTATGTACCAAAATTATCGAAAACGATACCAAAATACGGTTTTCTATCAATCTGAAGGCGATCGATGGCGATGACGTTTTTAGTCAAATCATCGTCAAAATCTATACAGCTTTAAGTTGTATTGGAAGAGATTGTCTTACCCTCAAATTTCAAGTTAAAAGACCCAACGGTCTGTAGAATGGTATAGACAAACGAACAATTGCAGATCAAGCACCACCCCAAAAGCTCCACTAGATAAAAAAAAATTTCATCAGGCATGTTCATCATACCGTTGCTTTTACCACGCTTTTGTTGCTTTGACTTCCGACAAATAATATCGTACTATAAGTATTTAATGCGAAGTATTAAAATACGAGGTGTGACACAAAAGTAACGAGACTAGGTCTGTAACTTGAAAAAACAATGGAATTAGCAGCAATTATTTTTGTGGCATCATCCCACATACCTCCTCTATCCATGTTGCCAATTTCGATTGAATCGGTCATACCATTTGGAAATATTGCGTTATTTAGTGAACACGTGCAACTGCATTCTGCCGGAAAAATGTCTAACGTAAAAACCGAACAGCGAATAAACATCAAGTTTCTTGTAAAATTTGTTGAAATCTGTTGTAACATGTTATGAGACATGTATTTTTACCTATGACTCACAAAGTAAGCGCCAGTCGATGCAATGGAAGTCTTCAGGATCCCCAAAATCCAAAAAAGAACGCATGTCAAAATCAAAATTCGACAATAATGGAATTGTAATGATTGAGTGGT